CAACGCACCCTTATTTTGGCTGTACCTGGCTGGAAATATAGCTCGTATACATTCATTTTTAGGGTGCGTTATGTTCGGGGGAAGACGGTAGGCTTGGTAATGGCCCCAGTTTCCACCCGGGTTGTTTGTGGAGGATTCCCAGCCTCTATTTCCTTTTCAGTTATAAAATGGTCAATTCTTCCACGAAAAAGAAAAGAAAAAAGAAAAAAAAGAAAAAAAAAAGAAAAAAAAGTCTAAAAAGAGAAAAAAGAAAAAGAAAAGAAAGGGAAAAAAAAGAAAAGAAAAAGAAAAGAAAAAGAAAAGAAAAAGAAAAGAAAAAGAAGCAATCTCTGGTTCACAAATGGCAAGGTCGTAACCCTCCACAATTCCAGAATCGAACGGAAGACCTTTTATTATAGATATTAAATAAATGATTTCGTATTTTCCCCCCAAAAAAATCAAAAAAAAATCCGGAATTGAATGGAAGATCTGGCACGACTCAGAAATGACAGATATGTGTCTGGACAATCTCATCAGCAGGAACCTCGGGTTTGAATCTGGATTTACAATACAGAGAGTCAGAGACGATCTGCGGTTTCTTCAGTTGTCGCAGGCAACTACACACTCTCACAGAGGGGCAGTCGGGACCACTACGATCAGGAGAGAGACGGTGACACCATGCATGCGACTAATTCACCAAGCCTTTTCATCCGCAATTCTTTTTCTTAAAAAAAAAAAAAGAAAAAAAAAAAGCCCACAGGTCCTTTATGACCCTTCAATCCAAAATTCGATTCTAGCTTTTAAACAGACAAACAAATGCGACAGACTGTCCGACCGAGCCGGAGAGCAATATCAGATGAAAAGGTGCGCTAACAGTCCATCCTCCCCCTTGCAGAGCAATCAATATGCTGATCAGGGGTATACCATACTATACTTCGGCCTGACGGGAGAAGCATGAGTATGTGACGGTCACATTCTTACCACTTGCAGGGGGTAAAGTAGCCAGACAGATATTCCCGAGAATGGATTCAGAGCAATTTCAGACTCATTTCAGAGCCAGGACCATCAGGACCTATTTCAGCCCCCCCCCCCCAAAAAGTGAAAAAGAGCCAGTCCAATGGGGGTGGGTCCGTTGGGACACCCATTAAAAGTGGAATTTGAACACACCGAGAAGATTATCATGGCCCCAGGCCCAAGGGACAACATGCATAAATCCAAAAAATGGTCCAATTTTTTTAGAAAAGGACACAGCCGTCCAATTGGTCGGAGAACCCGAGAGAAGGTTGTGAAAGGAATTACACAGTCCAATGGGAGTCCAATGAGTTGAAGTTGCTCAACGTTACTTTCAAGTTTGAACCCGAAAGAAGGACGCCGAAGGAGTCGGTACAATGGACTGACCTCGAGAGCAAAGATTGCCGTAGCAAAAACCTGCGAAGGGTGCCATAGCAAATACCGCAGGGACATCTGTATCATATTATCTAAAATTTGCCAGTGAAAACGGGTCCGGTCTGACGGATTAGAATCTCAGATCCCCAGGGAAGCTTGGCAGGAGTGCTGACTCTGCGTCGCAGGCCGTCACACGGGATCAGTCAAAATAGATTCAATACCCGTCGCCCACGTCCGGTCCCACAGTCCACACTGTGGACATCACCGCACGACAGACGAAACGAAAAAAACAAAATGAAATGAGAGTACAGCTGCCGGTAGAAAATGGCCAGGTTCATCGGTTTGCTATAAATAGTTAACAAGTGCTTTTTGTCAGCTTTCGTGGGTAGATGCACTCGTTTCGTTTTCGTCATGTGCCGTGTGGTGAGGCCCTGTACGAGTTATCAGATATTACGTGTGCTCGACAAGACAGGTGCTCTCTCCTAACAGAGCTCTTGCCGATGTCAGAGCCGACGCTCTACACTTTGTCGCTTGCATGTCAAGCATGTCGGTAGATGGGATGATGGGATCCCTTCTGGCTCGTGGCAACCCAATTATGATGGTAAGTAAGTTTGTCCAGACCTGCACGTGACGGCGACCTGACCACAAGCGTCTAATACAACGGCTCGTTGAAACTTGAAACAGACTTCAGCTGCCTCTGAGTACTTTCCTACACCCATAACTGTTATTTTTTCAAACTCCGTTGCCGACAGACACACACACACACACACACACACACACACACACACACACACACACACACAGAGAGAAGAGAGAGAGAGAGAGATGAAACAGACTTCAGCTGTCTCCGAGTACTTTCCTACCCCGCCGACACACACACACACACACACAACACACACACACACACACACACAGAGAGAGAGAGAGAGAGAGAGAGAGAGAGAGAGAGAGAGTCAACTTTTCAGAGCTCTCATGATGGCGACAAGCCCGACAGAGCTGTGAACAAGACACAGAGAAGCAATCGGGAAACAGACAAACGAATGCAGTCTCTTTCGTTTCCCGTTTTCAGAGCCAAGGACCTCGCCACAAGGCACACGAAACGAAAACGAAACGAGTGCACCTGCCCATGAAAGGTGTCAAAAAATACACTCCTTACTATTTATAGCAAACCAATGAACCTGGCCATTTTCGGCAGGAAGATGCACTCGTTTCGTTTTTCGTTTCGTGTGCCGTGCGGCGACGCCCGAAGTGAGCAGAGAACTGTTAATCCCTAAGAGAACTGTTGTGCAAACGGATCCATAGTATCGCCAAGGCTATAAGGCAACAAGGACCCTTTGAGAAACACACAACAAATGGCATCGAACCGCGGAATGAATTGCCGCCAAGCTCAACCTATCACAGTCGCCCTTCGACCTCCTAGCCTTCCAAATCACTGCCCTACATCAACAAAACGTCATCCAAAACGAGGTTTTTTTTTTTTTATATCCGGTTATCAGACCGTATCTCATACACGTTCATCGAAAGTGAAACATTGTCGACGTGCATGTGGCATGCACAAGCTGCAAGTGCCCACCCACACATCCATCTGCAGCAGATGCACTTGCACTTGTTTCTGCTCCTCTCAAGAGGCTTATCCATTGCCCATTAGGGAAGTGGCAGGTCGGCAGTCGACGGCATAGGAGGAGTCGAAGCAGCAGTCCAAGCAGTAGGGAGAAGTACAACGAAGAAAAAGAGGGGACATGGGAAAAATACCAAATGACAGAAGGGGGGATCCAAAGTAAAGTCATTGTCTCAGATTCTCTTCGCCGTAGCAAGGAGAAAAGTAATGTCAGTATCAAGGGGCACTACCCCGGTTTCCAGCTATTAATGTATTTTTGTTAAAAAAAAAAAAAAAAAAAAAAAAAAGCACAAAAAAGAAAAGGGATTAAATCATTGAACTGAAAATGCCTCCAATGGCAATTGCAGCATTAGGGCCTTGCCACACCTCTCTCCAAATGTGAAAAAGAGTTTGAAAGACAAAAATGTGGTGCGTGCATCTGGCCATGTTCTAGCAGGAAGTTCATTCTCATTTTGCACATTTCGAGAGTGGTGTGGCAATGTCGATGCCCTAAGGGAAGTGAAACCTTGACAACTGGCCTCGCTCCACTACTCTGTGGCATACTGCGTAGCCACACGGGCCCTGCAGGGCCCGTCCCGGACATTCAGCCTAAAAGCCTAAAAATTAGGGCTTACAGGCCCCTTTCGTTTCAGCCTGAAAGCTGAAAAACGAGGGCCTGCAGGCCCTACCCCGTTTCAGCCTATTTCTGGGTATTTCCAGACCCAGAGTTTTCAGCCTGAAACGGAGGGCCATTTTCAGGCCCTCATTGTTTCAACCTGCCCCTAAGACTCAGGCACGTAAACAGGGATGCGGAACAGGCCATAWATAGCCTGTTCCTCACGAGTTTGAGCAGGAGCTGCAGCTGCAGCCCCTGCCTCCCTTCGGCAGGCTCAGGAGGCACACCCGGTAGTACATAGGAAGTTCCCATGCACTTCACGGGTAGGTAGTTCAGTAGGCACGAGGTAGTCTTCAGGATTCGGCCGCAGCACTCAGGAGGAGCGCTGCAGTAGTCTCCAGCGCTAAGTACTAGTAGCGCTAGCTGTAGTCTTCGGCGCTGGGCGCCATAGCTGTAGCTGTAGTCTTCAGCGCTGGGCGCTGGTAGGTGGTAGATTGTGGAGTGGGAGAGAGACTGGCGGAGGCCAGTGATACTTACCTGTGGCGCCATCGCTCCAGCTCCATCTTCGTGGTACCTGCATCAAGGCGCCAACTTCACAGGTTAGTACTGGACACAGAGAGGGAGAGAGTTCTTCTTCTTCCTCTTCKAAGTCCACCTTCTCTTCTCACCCTCTCGCCACCTGACTTCTCAGACTACGACGGAGAGAGACAGAGTTGTGACTTGAGACTTGACGACATTGGATCCAGACTTGACATTTGGGATTCAGACATTTCGACGAGGGACTATTTGGGCCTGTGAAGAAGACTTGGTGTTGACGACATTCCCATCTTCCCCCTCCTCTTCCTCTATCCCCTTCCTCTTCGTCTGTGTATGGTATGGGCTGGCGCTGTCTTCCTGTGTGAAGCGCCAGACCCATTCACACCATGTAACGATGATGATGATGTATGTTCAGGGCTGCATTACAACATTGATTGTTCGGATCACTGGTATCTAAGTCTTCCGCTGTGTTATCTTGTACTTTGTATTGAAAGGTCGGTTCTTGTTCTGGTCTGCACGTTACAGTATGCAACAGTTTCAACATGCACACGACAAAAATCATGGTGGTGTTTCTTTCCATGTTCTAGCGGAAGATTCACTCTCACTCTCATTTCGCAGATTTCGAGAGTAGCGGAGCGAGGCGTTAAACCACCAGAGTACATCCAGCTATCGGCCGCGGGCCCTTTTCGGAGGAAGCCGGCGGCCGTCATTTCAATTTATCTTTGGCACTGGGCCTCCGAAATTTTCGTGGTCGACGGTTTTTCTTTTCAGCAAGGCTGGGGCCGTCTAGAGAAGCCGGGAGAACCACACACGAAGTACCTTCTTTTTCAGGGGCTAGCTTCCCTTTGGGGACGAAAAAAAACATTAAACGAAGACGGAGCTTACTTGGGTGTTCTGCAACTCCAATGCCCAGGTCAGCCATCTGATATCCCCGCCGGCCTCATACAGGTCTATCAATCCTCCAATCAGAAACGCGTAATCGTCAATGAAGCCCAATGCTTCTGAAGGGAGGTTGCGGTAATTCCTCCGAAGCCTCTTCGTGGATGGGTCATACAGTTTTTCCTCCAGGAACGATGCCGCATTCTCCGCAGCTTTCAAGTATTCGGCTGGCTGCGCACAAGCAAGCAAGGTCACAAAACAGGACACAAACAGAAACAGAAACACAGAATATCGTAATTGATGAATATAATACGGCTCACATCATACATAACAAGTGCATTCATAACTGCTACCATACCGACATATGGCTCACATCGAAACAAGTGCATTCATAACTGCCAGTCTGCCACCATATCGACAAACTTCCTTTATTTGTTGTGCAGCGGCAGCAGCAGGACTTCTTTATCGCCGAAGTTATATGGGGTCACATGTTCATTTAAACCATTCATAGGGTGGAACAGTGGCGACTCGTTGAAAACAGCGCTGTTTTCCCCCGAACACAACGCACCCTGATTCTGAATAGCCGTTGCGAAGCAGGACCGCAGTGCCAGCTTCCAACCAACCGTCACAATCATATTTTCTAACAGTTGGATGCCGGCATTGCCGGCGTCTTGGCAGCAGCCAATGGCCATCTCATGTTCGGACGATCTTCTACCTTCTTCCCCCAGATACAACGCACGATCATTATAGCTGCATTTAGACTGAAAGATGCCCTAGTGATATAGGTAATGAAATTAATAAGAAATTAAATTCATTTATTGAATATAGGGTAGCCTGCTATTCATTCATTCCGCCGATTAGGCGAGGCTACGGTGCCTTTCTTTCTTTTTCTTTTCTTTTTTTGTTTGTTTCTTTTCTCTAATCTAAGGCGCCTCTTTTTCAGGCGCCTTTCTTAAGCGGAAATGGGCCACTTGTTTTGGTTTGGGTAAGACATCTATAATGACTGTGCATTGCATTCGGGAGAAGAAGGTAGCCCTCCAGCTAAAAAGGCTTAACAAATTAGGTTTAGGGGCACAGGCCGTTTCAGGGGTCACTTCTTGCATACCGGACATTTCAGGGATAAGGGAGGTGTACGTTGGTCGAGGAGAATGCGGTTCCGGATTATCAAAGTTCTAGAGAGAATGTGTACATGTGAAATCATGAACTGCATGATGAAACTCAGGACCTCACTCACACAGACGGTAGTAATCGTACTTGCGCACAAGGCAACACTTGGCACGCTCAGATAGACAGATCCATGACGACATGGATTCCAGAGTCCAGATGGAGCAGGCACACAAAGAAGTTGATTCTGCGATTCTCTTTTATCACTGCTTCTTGTGCTCACTGGGTTACTGTGAGCATCGGTATGGAAGCCTAGAGAATTACCTCTTAAAAAAAAAAAAAAAAAAAAAAAAAAAAAAAAAACAACTTACATTGCAGCCTTCTACAGGAAAATGGTGCTTCATCTCCACTGGTTCCGATCTCAATACCCTCGATGCTCTCGCCATGGCAGATATGGCTAATCCATTCCATGCTACGATGATCTGCAAAGGAAACAATTACCAATAGCCACAACCGACGACATATTCATAAAGTAAATTGCACCACCATTGGTGGCAGAAAGAAAATTATGCCCAGGATGACAGAAGGAAAAAAATGTTAAAAAACTTTCACACTCAATGGCAATGCAGAGTGATAATATTTCCCAAAGAATCGAAAAAACATAAAAGAAATCAAGAATTCAGGAAGAAGTTGTGGTGCTTAGACACCGGAGGAGGTCAGTGCCAACCCATAACTCTTAGGGGGTAGATATACCGCAACAATCGATACTCGAAACTGGACTAAAACGGACAATTGGTTAGGTAGAGTGAGATACATGAGCGAAGAATAAAGCAAGCTTGATGTAAACAAAAAAAACGAACAAAGTTCAACAAACAGAAAAACAAACACACAACAACAACACCCGAGAATTCAATCCTGCTCCATCTCTACTGAGCTTGAAAAATCAAAAACTGAAAAACGATGGCTGACACGACTAGCAGGACCTGGCACATGGCTGACATGAACAAATTGAGAAATTTGTTGTTCATATAGCATACGACTCCCACTCTAGTTCAGATTCATTCTTTTGGTGCGACTACTCTGGTCAGTACCCTAGTTCAGGTTCCTTCTTTAATAAAGGGGTGGACCGGTACCTGATTGCATTCATCTGATTCCATCAGGGTTCAAACACGTATTCTATTTACTAACAGTTACATGTGCAGGGCTCAGATTGAGGCTCATTGAGCATAGGTTGTCACCAACAAAGCGTTTTTCCAGGATCCAGCAGAAGCAAGTACTGCTGAATGGAGGTTGATCTAGCCAAATCGAGGGGGGAAGCGAGTGGTGGTTACCCACAACAGACCTGGATTTGTCAGCGGAAAAGGAATTGGAACCAACGAGCCTAGCCCAGTTGGCACATACATGAACTGTTGAATTAGAGACCCGAGTTCAGATCCCACGCGGGGCATTGATGAATGCAATTAAATCATTAAACCACTAGGACCTCCGCCGGTTGGGGAAATAGGGAGGCCTCGGGCGGGTCTTCAATCTTTTAGGAGGCCGAAACAAAACGACAGCCGCCGGTGAGATTTACCAACGCCGGCCGTTGTCGGACCCTTTCTAGGAGTTTGGGAAAACTGCCAGTTTCGAAGTTTTCCGTATTTCCCAACACTGGCGGAGGTACCTAGCGCGAGGCACAAGGCCTCGGTAAGCCCTACTGGGCCCTACTATCAGCAAGGTCGGCCGCCTTAAGTGAAGGCAGTCCCGACCTAGGCCTATTTCGGACTACCCCGCAACTGGGGAAATTCAGGCAGTTGCGCAGCGCCAGCTGGTTGAAAGCGCCCAGGCCCACGCTGCCCTCATCGTATGTGACTGAGGCAGGCCCTGGGCCAGATACGCAACACGGACTGAACACAGGCTCCGGGCAGTTGGGCACGGGTAACCACCACAGGCCCTGGGGCTGATTCTTTTGGACTGAGGCTCAGCCTCTCGGGGCCTACCGGAAGCCCAGTGCAGCCAGGCCGCACGCAGCAGGGAGGCCAGGGCCTGCCTCCACCTTCGGCATTCCGGGACTGGCTGCATGCTGCGCAAGCGCTGCTGCGCTAAACGCTGGCCAGGCCCACGCGCTCACGGGCGAGCAGGGAGAGCAGGCAGCCATACACGAGCTGCGCTGCGCTGCGCTGACCTGGATGGGGCGCATGGTGGTCCTTCGGTGCAAGTGGCATCTGTGAGTGGGGGATCACTTTCATTACGTACTTTCTGTGGGAGCCGTATTTGCTCTATTTGCAGGATTCTACTATTGGATAGGCAAAATCTCTGAACTTCAATATCCAGAAACCTTAGGTCAGATTCATTTTTGGATTACTTTCTAGTGTGAATTTGACTTTCTTTCCTATGCATTTCTTAGGTCTTGCGGGCATGCCACGCCGCATTCCGGAAGACATACCGGGTGCTTGAGGCGAACGGCATTGGCCGAGATCTGCTCGTAATTCGGGGAGCTTTTGACGTCACCAGCAGCATTGTGGGTAGGCTAGATAGGATCTGCCATTTGTAGTCTGGGCGCAGAGCGCCAGATAGGATGTTGACATTGGTTCTTTGTTGATGATGATGAGACTATTCCAACATTGTCACTTACGAGCTTTTGCGGTGCTCTTATTTGGTGGAACTCGTGTTCCAATTCTGCTTTTGGTTCGAGGTCACGACTATCTGGTCTCATGTGTATGATGCTGCTTGGTTTCTGAAGTTCGCTATCGCTCATTTTCCTTGCAGTGTTTTCCACCAAAGAAAAGAAAAGAAAAGGGGCTGACGATCCCCAACATGGGATACGGCCAAGACCATAAGGTTCTGGATTTGGTATTTTTCTTTCCCTTTTTTCCTTTTTTTTTTAAGCAGCAAGAACCAAATGGATATCACAGACAGAGAGCTAGAGTGGATGGCAGATAATGTGTCCTTCTAATGCCAGTCCTGAGTTCACACTGTCGCAAAAGTTCGTCTGATGACTTCAAAACCCAGATGGCTGCGGTAACGAGAAACAGGCAGGAAATAGATGGGGTCGAGCTTAAAATTAACCTCCTCACCTTATCATCCAAGTGCGGATGGGGTCGCTTCTTGCGATGCAAATGAAGCTCCAGACGACACTGGCCCAAAAGTTCCGCGCATTTGTTTTCCGGCAATCCAAACTTGGCTGCAGTTTCAGCAAGCGATGACCTTTCAATCAAAACATTCTTCCCTTTGAACTCGTCATGCGGATCACTCCGTTTCGACAGGTCACAATTGCCATCCTCTTTTACATAGTAATGCGAAGCGAACACCTTGAACCGCTCCGACCCCAGAATGTCCTCCAACTGAAGTGCTCAACCCAGCCCATCGAACCACAACCGACCAAACCAACCACACACGAAAGGGAAGGCAAGAGTCGGACTGACATTCCTTTCCTTTCCAAAGCTTTTCAATAAAAAAGAAGACAGACCCTGAGGGAGAGAGAGAGAGAGAGGGGGGGGGAGGGAGAGAAGGAGAGAGAGAGGGGAGCAGAGAGAGAAGCGGGCCAGAGA